CTTAGAAATAATTTTTAATCTTTGGTTACTATAAACCCTAAGAAGCAGCTAAAATTATAATTTTTGCTAGGGGTCTAAGTTCAGTATAGTTTGGGGCTTGTCAATAGCAGTTCTTTTGCAGGCTTTGGGTGAACCAACATCTCCTTTCAGGGTTTGGGGATTCCCAACCATTCCTTTGCAGCATCTCCTTTTGGGGTTCGGGGTTTGTCAATAGCAGCCTTTTTGCAGGCTTTGGGTGAACACCTTTTGGGGTTTAGGGTTTCCCAGCCATTCCTTTTGTTTAGGGCTGCAGCATCTGATTAATTTTAGGGTTTGGGGATTGTCAATAGCAGCTTTTTCCAACATTTCCTTTTAGGGTTTAGGGTTTGTCGGTACCAGCTTCCTTGCAGGCTTTGGGTGAACCAACATGTCTTTTAGGGTTTGGGGTTTCCCAACCATTCCTTTTGTTTAGGGTTGCAGCATCTCCTTTTCGGGTTTGGGGTTTCCCAACCGTTCCTTCTGTGTAGGGTTTCAACATCTCCTTTGCGGGTTTGGGTCTTGTGAATAGCCGCTTCCTTGCAGGCTTTGGGTGAACCAACATCTCCTTTCAGGGTTTAGGAGTTTCCAGCCATTCCTTTTGTTTAGGGTTTCCTGATCTCCTTCTAGGGTTTGGGGTTGGTCAATAGCTGAGAAACCCCAAACGATGCTGAAACCCTAAACCCTGACCAAAAAAATGGTGGGGAAACCCCAAACCCTAAAAGGAGATGTTGGTTCACCCAAAGCCTGCAAGGAAGCTGCTATTTACAAACCCCAAACCCCAAAAAGGGATGTTGAAACCTTAAACAAACGGAATGGCTGGGAAACCCTGAACCCGAAAGGAAGATGTTGGTTGACCCAAAGCCTGCAAAAAAATGCTATTGACACACCCCGGCCCAAACCCGAAAAGGAGATGCGAAACCCTAAGCCAAACGGAAGGGTTTGGGGTTTCCCAACCATTCCTTTTGGTTTAGGGTTTCAGCATCTCCTTTTCGGGTTTGGGCCGGGGTGTGTCAATAGCATTTTTTTGCAGGCTTTGGGTTTTTTTTTCCTTTCGGGTTTAGGGTTTCCCAGCCATTCCGTTTGTTTAAGGTTTCAACATCTCCTTTTGGGGTTTGGGGTTTGTAAATGGCAGCTTCCTTGCAGGCTTTGGGTGAACCAACATCTCCTTTTAGGGTTTGGGGTTTCCCCACCATTTTTTTGGTCAGGGTTTCAACAGCTCCTTCTAGGGTTTGGGGCTTGTCAATAGCAGTTGTTTTGCAGGCTTTGGGTCAACCAACATCCTCTGTTAGGGTTTGGGGTTTCCCAGCATTCCTTTTGTGTAGGGTTTCAGCATCTCCTTTTAGGGTTGCATGGGGTCTCCGAACCGGTCCTTTCGTTCAGGGTTGCAGCATCTCCTTTTAGGGTTTGGGGCTTACAGGTTTTGGGCCAACCAACATCTCTTGATTTCGCGGTGCGCGGCCGTGCACGGCCCCGCGGCCCCCCGCAGCCTTGCCCCACCCGAGTCGCCGCGTCCCACGGTGCGCGGGATGGTCCCGTGGCCCCGCCGCCTCGCACAGCACTGCGGCGCGGCCCGCGGCCACTCCCGCGGACACCGCAAAAAAAACCTCCACCCAGCACCTGGCCTCAAGCAATGCATCGGAAATGGCCACACAACAAACCTTCCGATAGAGTTCAAAGGGAAGAACGTCCAACCGATGCAGGTTCTCGGACTCGGCTCCAGTTTTCTCTGTGAAGTTGGAGAGCCGAGGAATACAATCCAGTTATACACATACATAGATGATGAGTGCGTTCATGTCACCATCAACCATGCGGAAGGCGAGCTGTGGAAGCCTGGCACGAAGCGTGGAACAGATGCTTTCGCTGCAGCAGGCTTTTTAGCGGCAAATGTCTCTTTGCCCTTCTCCCTCTGTTTCGCCGCTCTCTCTCTCTCTCTCTGTCTCTCGTTGTCTCTCCTTGTCTCGCTCTCTCTCTGCGGACTATATGACACAGTGTAAAACGCAAGCTATGTATTGTTCACTTCACACATGGCATCATCTCCCTGGTTCTTGTAGACTCGCGAAAAACCGCACGCTGACAGCCGAGGTGCAGATCAGTCTCAGTGCCGGCAGCAAATCTCTCCGAGAGGTATGTGCGCGGTACACAGGGTGGACAACTACAAAGACCAAGAAGCCAGGCAAACAGAAAGAACTTCTTGAGCAAGTCCCCCCAGTGTGAAGGGGTGGTGGCCTGCGAGTGCGAGCGAGAATGCATCGTCCTCGCTGCCGGCCGCAGCGAAAGCCCGTGACAAGCGCCCATGATTGAGAAGCTGGGCTGTGTTTGAGTGGTTGTACTGGCTTCAGGCCTCAAGCGTGCAGGCCTTGCCGGCAGTCTGTTTGCTCCGATGCTGTGTTTTTGCCGAAGGCAAACCAGCAACCTGCTTTTCCATTGCTCAGCAAACGCCGAGCATCGCGTGCAGACGTCGGCCCGGCCACATCCACTGCAGCTTCGAAGATCTTCAAACAGTTTCCATCCTGCCGCATCTGCGGCCTGCCGTGAATGGGCCAATGACGGTCTGCCAGGCAGTCCCGGAGAGCCTCACGTTCCCGACCGCATTGGGTGCCGGCCTTGGAAATCACAGACATGTGGAAGAAGCGTGACGTGAGATAACGCTGGTTTCCTGCAGTCCAACAAGCAAACTCATTTCCTGGCTGCATCTGCGGGCAGTTGCGTCCATCATCCTTGCGGAGTCGCTTTTGACCGCACCGGCAGGCAGGCATTGCAGCACGGGAGACCGGAATTTCGCGTACCATTGCATACCCGAACCTCCATACTCATCATTGGAAGATCGCACTCAAGAAAAGTGTACAGCAAGATGAACAAATCGTAAACGCTTGGCAGCTTAGCTTCAGATCGGCCGGAACACCCCGTCGGAGGGGTGGTCAGAGGTTCTGACAGGGATTTGTTGTCCCCAATGCCAACCCTGCAATGCAACTTGTGAGTGGTGTGAACATCTGTGCCTAAATATCATGATTTCGCGGACGACTCTCCCTAAGCCGTCCTTCCCGCACAGTCGAAAGCTTCAGATACTTCTTCATCGTGGACCAGAGCAACCACCGAGTCCAGGTTTGGGATTCCTCGACTCAGGAGGCCGGCGCCGAGCCCGAAGTCTTGGCACTACGTCGTCGTAACGTAGTCTTTGCTACTATATTCTAGAAGTGCTATAGAATACAACATAGCATAATACTGCACATGACCAGCTAATACTAGATAGAACTGCATAAGGATATTTAATACGATATTTAAAGGTAAAGTCACATATATATATATAGATATATATATATATACACATGTGTATATATATATATATACTCGTAAAACGACATACTAATGTAAATAACATCTTTGGCAATTTTCAAAGCGTCCGAATCAGACATAAGCAAAGGACATGCAGCCATCAGAACTTCTGTGAGGGACGTATGGTAAGTCAAAGTGTCGCTTGCCCTTCTCTGCTTTCCCCGTGTGGTCAGGTTCTTGGCGCTTGCGGGTCGAAGGGCCTCGGGCCTGCGCACTTTGACACGCCAGGGGCCCCGCATTCCTCAAGTGGGTCTCCAGCCCAAGGTTCGGCCTTGAACTTAGGCACAGCTCCATCGTCCCTGCAGTTGATTGTCTGGAGCATTGCAGTGTAGACATGGAAACCCCAGCTTTTCAACAGTCCTGGCATGACGCCGGAGCCCGTCCGATCACGCAGCAGGCCTTGTGGCATAGTGGCAGACCGCGAGAACAAGATCGTGGCCGGGGCCTGGGAATTCTCGCATATCTGAGATAAAGATGCACGTATGTCCGTAGGTGCGTGTGTATGTGTGTATGTATGTATGTATGTATGTATGTATGTATGTATGTATGTATGTCTCTATGTATGTATGCATAGGTAACACCCAGGAGAGCATACCCTGAGTAGTTGGAAGCCCTTCATCATCACGACCTGGAACTGGTTCGACTGTCCGGGCCCTTCAGGGGTATCATTCAGTCTGGCGTTCCAGGGGTTCGCTTCGCCTTTTGCTTCGAAGATGGGATGAGTCCTCGCGAAATTGATATCGTTCTTATTTTTGTGATATCTTCTTGGAGCAAGAAGTATAGCAATCGGATCCCATGAGCATCAGGTGTCGGATCTGCTGAACCATCGGCTCCAGGTCCTGGAGTTCAACCCAAGGCGCCGAAGTGCGAAGCCCAAACCGAGTTCGACCCCCCCCCCCCGAAGAAGGTACAGGGGACGACCCTAGGGCCCCGGACGACCTAGGGTTGCTGATATAAATCCTGCATGACCCACGATAATGAATGTACCATAATTCCCATAGTTTAGGGTCTTTAAGGTAATATGCAGGGTTGATATAGTTTATATCACCAACAGTAGGACATCCTGCGGCCAGGACTGGGCATCTGCAGTTCCTCCATTCCGTGGGCGCTGAGGGGACCGGCTCTGGCCTCGGCTGAGGGTCTCCTTTGAAACTGCCTCCTCTTCTCTCCTCGTATCAACTTTTATCATCTTCCTGTTCCTGTGGGTTATACCCTGTTGAAACTGCAGATGGACACGAAATAAAGAGAGGGGCGAGTTAGATCAACTGCCCTGATGTCTGATGGACTGTGCATCCCGATTCCTGCCGCAAGCAGCAGGTCCTTGCCAGTTCTCCTTCCCGAAGGGGCTCGGGCTCACGGAGAACGGCACCGCACCCAGAGGTTTCCGGCTACAGTGGCTGAAAAAACACTTGCGACCATGCAGGATGCCTTTGTGAAAGGGGGCTGGGGCAAGGCAGTTGTTGGGGTGCATAAGAACTATATGAGCCGGTGTTGAAGCTTAGAAGGTCATGCCCAATGTCACACCGTGCAATTTCTGTATGGGTCTACATCAGGTTGTCTTCTGGTCTGCGACTCCGCGAACCACCGTGTTCAGGCACGACGCAGTGGCAGCGTGCGAAGTTCATTTCAAGGTTTCCAGAGAGGTTTTGATCGTCAGACAGCAATGGGCGAGCTTGAGACAGGTCTTGGACATGGAAGACTTTCACATGGTGCGGGAGTCCAGGGCCAAGTCTCCAAGCGATCTGATTGGATGCTGATGCGTGCGACGCCAAATGATGTTTCTGTGGTTTCGCATGTTGGCCAGCTTGGCTAGCGGACATCAGGTTTGGATCATTTGGCCCTGGCGATGGGTGAGCTGACATGTGTTAAAATTTAAGCATCCATTGGCAGGGGCATCAGCTGACGAGGCCCCAGCAGGTCCTGTGCTTTATGCTATCTCCTGGCCAGGCAATTTGATTCACCACTCGCAGCCACCATCACATGCACCGGGGACATCATGATGTGTGGGCCACAGATTCGGGCGGAGCACGTCACAACATCTACACCGATGCCCGTCGATCTAGATCCTCTGACTGCCACGAGCCCGCTTGGCGACACATTTTGGAGCAGTGAAGCCTTTTGCAACATGTGCCTGCCGAGATCTGATGCGAACAACCGCATCCAGGCGGCTGCCCTGCAGTGTCCGCAGTCAGCCCTTGTCTCGAAGCCTGGCAAGCGTCACGCTGTGGTTTTGCTTAGGCCAACTTTCACTACCGCCCCAGTGGGCAGGGTATCCTGTCAGAAGCTCCTAGCTGTAGATGCTGGCTCCGCAGGTCTTCGATGCCAAGGGGAGCTTCCTGCGATCGTTTGGCGTCCGCGGCAAGAAGGATGTGGGCAGGGAGAAGCTGTTGATGTGATATGGCCAGATGCCAGATCACGCTTACAAACTCTGTGCATGCCACGTTCGTGAACAAACTGTTTGCATGGTCAATCAATCCTAGAATATCGCGATTGGTTGCAGGATGGTTTCTTCCATTATCCCGTTGGCATTGCTGTGAACGACGAGAACGCATCGAGCTCAGTCAGCCGACCAGTGCTAGCGGTCTGGTTTGAGTTGAGAGCGTCAACTTCTTCTGATAGACAGTCTCCGAGCCAGCTCTGTTCGCCCACTGGACACAGTCTTGCAAGGGCTTTGAAGGTCCAGGTAGCTTGAGAACGGCAGTGCTCATGATGATGGTCCGATGGTTATGATGGCCATGATGGTGATGATGATGCTGATGTTGATATTGCTGATGATGCTGCTGATGATGATGATGGTGACGGTAATGCTGCTGATGAACGGTGATGGTGACTAGGATAAGTCAGAATAGCACGGCGAAACAAAGCAGTGGCAACGCGATGTTGAGCCGACCTGATGTGCTGATAGCTCGTAGTACCGCATTGGTCATTGTCTACGGCCCGTGAACGCTTCATCCTATCATTCTCATCATGAGCATAATCACAATCCTCCACAATCTTCATGGTCTTCCCCACGATCTTCCTCCTCCTGCTCCTCCTTCTTATTCTCACATGGTCATGGTCTTCATCAGCATCAGCATCGCCAGCGCATTCATACTCACAATCGTGATGTTTCGCCGATAAGCATCGCCATCATCGTACCAGCTCCAGCAAGCACGACGACTCGCACCCGTGCGCTTCAGGCCCTTTTCGTTTGCGATCAAGGAAATCATCGTGTCCAGGCCGGAAGGTCGTGATTTGCTTGATACAAGTTGATGGGCTCGACTTCAGGGTTGTCACGACTGCCTGTCTGCTGTCAACTCCATCGGCCGCATTCTTTTTCGCAGGAACGGTGGCAACATGCCTTCATAGTGTTCTTATTAGTGTACGTAGCCATGTAGCATCCCTGTGCCTTGACGGGAGGCGGGAAGGCACAAGGTGCACGTGCATGTCACGAGTCATTGCAGTCAACCACCCCTGTATCGGATCGAAGGTCTTCAATGCAGCTGACGGTCTTCAGCTCATGTTCTGCCAATGCAGCGGATTGTAATGAGAGTTCCGCAGCTGTGAACAGCAGCGTCCTTTCGGATCGCAGCAAGGTTCGCATGGAGTGCCGTGTGAGTGCGCCAAGGCAGCTTCATCCACAAGTGGGGTGGCTCCAGAAAGAAGAAGGCCACGCTGCAACCCTCTGCCCGTGCGTGCGTCATACTCGAGAATTAGTTCGATGCTTTTCGATCTTTATTTTCCTTCCTCAGGGCTCTGTGACAGTCGGCAGCTTATACTCATGAGCCGTTTGCCCGGCGAAGGGGGCGAAAGCTCAGTTTATTGCGCCCGTGGGTGCCACAGTGCACAGCTGGAGGTAACCCCCTCCCCCAACTTCAGGATCCTTGACGGCTCAGTGTAAGTTGCCAACCGGATCAACCAAAGTCGAAAGCAACAGAACTCTTCATCAAGTGTATGTGTGTGTGTGTGTATATGCACATTTCTGTGGTTTGGAAACAGGTGTGCCAACTCGAATTCAATGTATGTGCTTTGCTGATGTCATGTATCACGACGATGGTCCTTCACACGTCAGGAGCCACCCGCAGAGGACGAGCAGGAGGCCGCTGTGGATTCGATTCGCAGAGTAGGGATGGTAGGAGTTCCTTTTCTGCGAGAGCACTTCGACTGTACTGATCCTTCTCCTGGCATGCTCAGCGCTTCGTGAACGAACGGAGGCCCCTCCGGCTGAGACGGAGGATGAAGGCGAGAAGCCAGAGGAATGGCAGGGCTTGCGGCCTTCACCTCGGACGGGTCTGAGCAGCTCAGGCTGCAGATATCAACCGAGTCTGCAAAGCCCCACCAGTGCCATCAGGTCCCCTGCGGGAATTGCTGTCAATGCCAGTGGGATGATTGTGGTGGCGTGCCTACTGTACTGGTATTTCGCATGCGGACATCTGACACAGAAGTCCAGCACCTGCATGCAGCACGCTTTGATCGTCTTCTGTACTATCCTGGCTGCCCAGCGGAGCTGAACTGAGGTCACTGACTATCACAGCCATTCCATTTATGCATTCTGAGCTGCCGAAATGATCCATGTTGCTTTGCTGTAGCTCGGCCAGCTAGGTTGCCATGCTTGTTTCATGGCATTCCACTTTCAGGACTATGCAGTCATGCAGCAGATTTTTTACACCATGCTACTGTTACATCAGTCGTCCTCATCGTTTTGAGATCTTGTGGCCAACACCTTTACATTCAATGTGCTGTCTCTTTTCGTCGCGAGTACTCCAGAGTAGTAAATACTAGGTAGGAAGTGGCCGCATGTCGCCAATGTCTCAGCACTTGACCTCTTTAAGTGCTTCGGCTGTACGAAACTGCTGCAGCCTTTGGTGTGAAAGAGTTTCAGGCAGATGAACGTCTGCCTGGATCATGTAGGTTGTTTCGAAATCGGTGCTCAGCCCATCAAAGCTGAAGGCTTTCTTACTCCAGAAGACAGTCTCTTCAGGCAGCCTTCCACCTCACTCGGTCTCACCCTGCGGACTCCAAGCAGGAATTTCGGACCATGACAGTTCAGGGGTGTTGATTGGGAATACGTACCGTTCCTTCACAGCCTGGCGTGCATGTTGATGACCATCTCCTGAGTGCAAATCTTAGCCTCGCCGGGGTCAAAGACCTCGCGGGTTGACTGGTTCACATTCCTCGAAAGGGGTCCTGAACTGGATGACTCACCCTGTTTGCCCAAAGGAGGTCGGGAAGCCACTTTTGTCATGCAAAGTCCGGTTCGGGCTATGTCCGCAAGCTTCTTCCGGTGTGCAGGCCCGCGCCGATATATTGGGAGAGCTGCGGGATGTTGTCGGTGCCCCAGCTGACTGCACGCTCCTGGACTGTCAAACCTTGCTTCGATGCCCTTCGAGTCCTTTGACTGAGGGGTTGGTCATTGCATTCGCTAGCGCAATTCTAAACAGATGCATGTTGAAGGCCCACCAGGATCTACGCCGTGAGCTGACAAGGTTGCAGCGAGAGGCGGCAGAGATTGTGATGGGAGCCTGTGCGCTTTTGAATGTACTAATGCAGTCTGCATATTATGATCCCATGCCAGCTGAGCCACTATGCCACTGCATATCCTTCGTGATGTCATTAAGTGTTTTGCCTGTCGGAATAGAATTAATCAAGAGCAAACAACGCATGGGTATGCGTTCCCCACGAAGCAGTGCTTGAAATGACGGTCTTAACCCCCAAAGCACGGTGCTTCCACAGCAGGTTTGCTGATTCTTCGTTCTGCCTGCTCTGTTGCGATGCATAATATCGTTGCGAAGCTACAGAGCTGTTGTGATCTCTGTCATCTTTAGCAGACCAGATGGTGTTTCAGTTTGAAGAAGAAGTCCCCATAGGCAACAGAATACCGCAGCAGGTACGCGAAGCAGCACAGAAAGAAGCAGCGAAGCTGCGCCAGGAGTGCAATATGTCTATGGAAAGCCAGGTGACCCTGCCCGAGAGAGCTTGGGAGTGCAATTTCTGGCAGATCCATCTTGTAAGTCATGGAGTTCATCTCTTGATGCGTAGAGAGCGTGGCACACAAAGCTGGACCTGAGACAACTCCGTACACGATGTAATGCTACGTGAGAGCCCGGAGAAGCCTGCAGTCTTTGGCTTCCCGTTTACAGCACAGGTTCGGCGCGGCATGGCGGCTTCAGAAAGCAGCGAGCGTCGCGTGGAGGCAGGGGTCGTCAGGTTTCACGATCTGGAATAAGCACTGCAACTCCTGCGATTCACAGATCTTCCTACTACTCAGACCAGGAAATGCTGCGAGACCACCGAACTCGCGAAAGGAGAAGCTACCACTGCGAGACACACGGCTACAGTCACCCTGGTGATCTAGTGTAGATTCCCGACTCTGCAATTGTCAAATGGCAGAGCTCGAGCTTGTGCCAAGGCTCTGTGGAGTAAAACTATGTAAACTTTCTCAGCATCTACCATTTTCTCACACATACGAAAGTTGGAATAGTGGGTTGGCCGTCACAATGGCGCACTGAGCCCTGCACAGCTCAAACGAAAGAGTAACTGCCGACGCACGGGGATCCATGTGGGGCCTCCGCAGAGCCGACCTCCTAAATCGTTGGCAAAGCCTAACCGCTTCCTAAGGACAGCCTACCTACAAGTTGCGCTGCATGTGTACGGCTAGCAGAACATGGCTGGGGAACAGTCAGAGAGGTAGCCTTTCCTGCCAAGTGCCTCCGTGAGAGAATTGCAGGAGCGAGGCGAGGGTAGTGGCGAACACAGCAGAAGCCTTCTGTGAGGCCGCGGTGCTTGAGATGCGAGATAGCAATGACTAGGATTGATTCTGGCATTTTCTTTAAGGGCTGCAGCTGGGTCCTGGACGCCATGAACGACCCACAACCCAGCACTGAAAGTCTAAACCCAAACCCCACATTCTTACAGCATGCCCATGGAGACCTGACCATGCACCTGCTAGGAGGAGGCCAAAGCGGCTGCAGCCAAACTGGAGGTGCCCTCCCTTTAGATGCGTTGCAGATGCAGGGAACAGCATGTGCTGCTGCACAGCACAGTGCCCGGCTGCATGCACATACTGACTTGACCAGGTGTGTGTGAGTGTGTGTGCATGCATGTATGTATGTATGTATGTATGTATGTATGTATGTATGTATGTACGTACGTAGGTATGTATGTATGTATGTATGTAGGTATTTATGTATGTATGTCTGTATTTATGTAAGTATAAGTATGTATGTATGTATGTATGCATGCATGCATGCATGCATGCATGCATGCATGCATGCATGCATGCATGTGTATATGTATGCTTGTGTGCATGTCTGCGTATATGCATGTATGCTTGTATGTATGCATGGATGCGTGGATTCATGGGGGTCTGCTACACTTTCTGCCGGCTGACTCTGAAGTCTGTCCACCAACTACGACAGATGGGGCGGGGCGCTTCGCCTAATATATTTCCCGGCCCCGGGACAAAATATGACAGAGGGGCCGGGGTCTGTAAGGGGGACGAGGGCTCCCCGGACTCGTGCAGTCCTCTCTGGGCGCGGGTAAGGCTGGGAGGCGAAAGGAAGACGGCCGGTTCTTGGTTTTTCGCATTCTGCGAGGCACTGCTTGCTGGTTCCGGCTTTTTGGGTTACGGGCTTCTGGGCTTGGGAGGGTTAAGGGTTTCTGGGTTTAGGGTTCCTGGGTTGCGGGCTACTTGGCTTAGGGCTTAGGGGTTAGGGGTGTTTTAGGGTTAAAGGCTTCTGGGTTTAGGGTTTCTGGTTGCGGGCTTCAGTGCTTACGTACGAGTGCAGTGCATGTTCTGAGCATGTTGGGAAAACCCGGGATCAAGGTCCCCTGAATGTATACATTTCCCCGGAAGGATTAACGTATGTAGGAGGGGTCGCCTGCCAAAACCATTTGGGTGTTGTATGTATGGATGTATGTATGCATAGTTATGTATGTAGGATTATGTATGTATGTAGTGTTTACTTATACACACGTGTGCCTGAATGCCGCTAAACACTCGTAGAATTCTTTAGTGAAGGAATGAAATGTCACAAGAGAAGCTGCAAAATCAAAGTCGGTCTGCATATAAGGCATGTACTGAATAGATGTCGTGTTGTTCGTTTGAGTGTGTAACAGTCCCCCTCCTGGTATGCAGCCCCCGCACCGATGGGTCGTTTGCAGCACTGCTTCAATTCGTGTATCTTTTGAGCATGTTGACGGGAAATCTGAAGGAAGAGCAAACCTGCCCAGGGGCATTTCATTATTATCCTCGCCCAAACCCCAACCCACCCCGAGCTGAGGGTATCACAGCATGGAAGGGAGCCGCCCGCGCCCGCACGAGAATTTATGGACCCAAGCCCCAACCCACCCATCCGAGCACAGGGGCACGGGGTGTTGGGGAGGGTCTTCGCGACGCTGCACCATGCGTATACATACATATTATGTATATATATATATATATACACACACATATTCACACACTCACACACGCACAAAGAGTGTGTATATGTGTCTATGTCTGTGTATATGTCCATGTGTATGTACATCTATCTACCGGTGGTCTGCACATATGTACATGAAAACACAGGTACGGTATGTATGTATGTATGTATGTATGTATGTATCTACATATGCATTTGTCGGTGTTATTGCATTGTACTGTAGTGTAGTGTACTGTACTGTAGTGAAGTGTAGTGTAGTGTAGCGTAGTGTAATGTATGTATGTATGTATGTATGTATGTATGTATGTATGTATGTATGTATGCATGTGTGGGTGCATGTACGTACGTACATCCGTCCCTACGTGCATGCGTGTGTATCGATGTAAGTTTGTGCATGCACGGGTGTGTGTATGCATGTGTGTCTGTCTGTCTGCCTGTCTGCCTGCCTGCATGCATGCATTCATGCATGTATGTATCTGTGCTTGTATGATCTTGTATGTGTTAAGGCATATGTCACGTGTCTGCGCATCTATGAGCATGTGCCTGTTGACATTTTATTTGTTCATGCATGAGTGCCCATGGGCATATGGGCCGCTGTGCAACCTGACAGGAAAAGGCGAAGCTCATGGCATGGCAGGCGGAGGACTGATTGATTGATCACAGTGTTAGGCAAATGGCTCGAAGCCTGGTGACATCATCATCATGATCATCGCTGTCACCGGAATTTGCATCACCATTGAGACTACCGCTTTCCTCGTTGCTATCACTACCGTTATCATTGCAATCGTTGTCGTTTGCGTAATCGCCGGCATCCTGTCGCCATAAGAGCAGCGTTAGCATCTGCCGCAAGCACGCAGTAGGTGTGTAACGTAATGTATTTCACAGTTGTTGTATTGCAAGGCAATACAGTTTAATGGAATGGGCTATGATGGAATATAGCGGGATGCAACGTAATGTAATTTGGTGCAGCGAAACGTGGTAATGTAATGAAAAGTAATGTGATGTAATGTATTGCTGTGAGCTGTAGGCGTGCATGCGTGCATCCATGCATGTATAGGTAGGTGGGTAGGTCGGTAGGTGTATGATTGTATGTATTGATGTAAATATATACGTATGTACTTGTGTATGGATGTACGAACGAGTCAACTCATGTATGTGCATATTGGAGTATGTATACTGCAGCTTCACATGTGCACATACGTGCACGTGCATATGTGTGCACACGTGTACCTGCACACGCACATGCACATTTATCCATGCGAGCATGTGTGTTCCCATGTCAGCATGCCTGTATGTACTGACACATGTACACCCGTTACACGCACGCGGACGCACAAATAAATCTGATATCTATCTATCTATCTATCTATCTATCTATCTATCTATCTGTATATATATATATATGCACGCACACATGATTTTCGCCTGACACACGAGCAAACAATCAATCATACGTCGAATCATACAGACATACATACATGCGTACGTAAGTACGTACGTACGCACATACA